AAAATGGCTGATATATATTCAACTTGCAGAAACTAATTCCGGCCATAACTTCACAAAGATGATATTCAATTTTATGATGTTCTTGTTGAATCATCTTAATTAGTTTTATAATGTTCTTGCAGGGATGGATCCAGCATGATCTGATAGGGGGTTTTGCTCTGCCCGCTCTGGTGCCGAGTTGTGTCGGTCATGTGTGCCGCCCGCCCATAAACTTGCTTCACTATTGCAACATCTTGCTTGACTACAGTATTTGAATTGTTGTTCACAGTTTGCCTATCATCATATTATTACTCAAATTTCTGTATCTCATTTTGTCTCTAATATTTTTTTTGCTTATCATGAAAAATAGGACACCCCTCCTGCACCCCCTCTGGTCAGGGCTAGGGGGAGGGTGCAATCCCCCGCATCCCCCCCCCCAATAAATCCACCATCCCTGTGTTCTTGTTAAAACATTTCGGGTTCCAAATCTTCTTGGTAGTTCATGATAAACTTTAACAGGCACGCGAGAACGTTGTAGATGCATAGAAGTTGTCAGGATAACAGGTGGTGCCAATATACATTTGCAGAGTTTTGAAAGCCTTTTTATACCATAATTGATACATAACATCAACATTTCTGCTGTTTATAATTGATCTATTTCATTTTAGAATATGTCATAGTCAGAGTTGATGGCACACAAATCAACTGTTTATGCCTAGTAAATATATCAAATAGGTAATATATTGAAAGTCATTCATCAGCAACAAATAATGACAAATATGGAAATTAGAAGTATAATCGATGCATACAGTTCTTGAATAGAATGATATAATTCAGCATACCAGATCCATGCAATAATATTTTGTCGTGGAAAAAAATCCACTTAGCTTCTGACTCTGCTAAATTTGTATAAAAATGATCTATCCAAGTCTGTAATGAAAGCAGACACCAATTGTCTATAGTTATGATCACTGATAAAGAAATTATGTAACCTTACGAAATTATATAGCCTTCTATTGGTTTCATTCAACTAATTTATTTAACTAAATTTAATTATTCAACTAAAGTCACCAATGAAAATAAACATCAACACTTACATCTCGATATACACCTACAACGGCAACATGTGGATGAATCATTACTTTCATAGTTTCATAATTCGTTTCCACTGCGTATTAAATGATGAAATCCTTCGAATGCTTGCCAAAAATGCACTATCGACATTTGCCATATTCAGACTGGTAAAATGACGTTGTTTTTTGTTTGTAAATTCACAAATTGCCTTTTATTTCACCCTTCAGTAAACCGCTATTTTGAAATTAATATCATTACGTCATTTCATCTATACGCTGTCGTTGATTGGCTATGAGCACGCTTACAAACTTCCGGTACGCGCACGATGGCAATATATCTGCTTCGCAGATACAAAAATCATTATATAAAAATCTTTATATAAAAGTCTTTATATAAAAATCTTTATATAAAAATCTTTATATAGTTTGCATAACAATGGTCTTTTGTTAAAGTGTTCTTTAGCTGGTATAAAGACGTATGCATGTGACTAATTTCTTGCTCAAGATTGGATAATTGCTTCATGAATTATTAATGAATTTTTGAATAATAATTAAAACTCTTTTTCGTCAAGAGATAAAAAGCCAAAATGCTATACTCCGATTTCGGATTCAGTTTATATCAACGAATATTTACCTTCTTGTAACATAAAATGGATCGTTTAAAAGCCCACGATTTAAGCTATTGAATGACATGATTTCTTCCATCAAAATATTACACAAGCCAAGATTTAGGAAAATCGGGAACAAACCTTTCAAATCTCTAAATTTACCTCGATTTCCTCACATTGGTTGAATATCTTTCGAACCATATAGGAAATACGAAATTTTTTATTGCACCAGAGTGTAGCCCAAAAATTTCAGAGTAAGCCGATCAAACTTTTGAACGAAACAGACTTGACGTGACGCACGCGTGTGGACTAGCAGATAAAACGTTATATAAGGACTTGCTTTTGACATAACCAAATGAAATTCATGCATTATGTAATGTGGAATCGATTGCCGGTGGTTTTAATGCCGCACGATTCATGCAATCGGAAATTTTAGCCCTCGGACAATACTGACCGCGTTGAAATGTGCAAAATTGTTCATAAAAGTTTAGATTTCTTCCTAACCGCATGGAATAGAAATTATTACGCCTAGTCGAATGGTACTATCAGTTTTACGATGTATTATAAGCAGGCGAAGTTGTATGGCATTATGGTAACATAGGGGTTGATACATTTCATAATAGCTGTCAAGAGGTCCTCCTTATTATACGTAATAAAAAGATATCCAGGATGTATATATTTCCTGTTTTCCAAACATTCGCGAGTCTTAAATAGAACTAGCTATAGATTCAGTTTCCTAAATCTGAGCGTAAAAAGCGACCAGATACGACAACGCCTGGTTTTGAGCACCATCAACAAAGTTAGGTGCGTCATTCTTCTTGTTGCTGATTCGTTCCCACTATTCCCAATCATCTACGTCAGTTCATGTATTTGAGATGTCACAATAGCTCACATCAGTTCACATATATGAGATGCCACAATAGTTAGCATAGAAAAAGTTGCTCAGATTTTCAAGAGTCAGTCAGCAGGTAAAAGTCAAACATCAGAAGCAAAAGACTGTTATGCAAAGCTCAAAACAGTGAAATTTATTGAACATTAGAAATAATTATTTTTATTATATTATGTTCTATAAAACATTAGACAAAGTTTCTGCTACCACGTTGAAATTTTAACATCAGGATAAATGGTGTTTGCTATTTTTATAGATGTAAAATTAATCACAAAGTTTGGAAATCTTTCGTGCTCCAGGAGACATCCTCTTCAAAGCTTCATGATTTTTTGATGACTCTCCACTACTGGTAATTATTTCCAACTAGTCTTCCAATACACACTTTCAATAATTACGTCATTTGGCTTGGGAGCCTCGCTCTCATGATTCGTGAGCTAATCACCTTGCGTAACATACTAAACGAGCGAGGCTTCAAGACCCAAAAGTATGTGTGACGTAATTATCGAAGGGGTTTATTAATTAAGTTGTTATTAATAATAATGATGATCTCTTAGCTCATCCACTTTGTGTACGAACAGGAACCAAATGCTAGTTTGAAAATAGTAGTCCGTGTGTTGTGACCTCGAAAAGTGCCTAGAAGACAATGTTCATTAAGCATGTCTTAGATCTGAAATACTTTTACGGAACTAAGAAATACTTTTTCGAACAAGATGAGTTCAAATCCAAAAGTTTCCACTCCGTAGACCCGCAGTTTTTTCACAAAATGCTATAATTTTATCTTCACTAATTTCACAGCAAATTTTTTCATTGTCAACGACACGGATCGATGACGATACACGATCATGTCACTCAAAAGGACCAATTTCTATTAACCATTCTTCCTTGTAACAAAAGACAGGTTTGGCTCCAATCATTTTCAGTTATGCAATCTCGTGCGTGTTGGACGTAAACAACATATCTTGTCTACGACAAGGTGCAGATAATTCCTTCTAATATCCTTAGTTCTGGATCAATAAAATCACAAGTACGTTAATTAATGTCATGTCTTCGTGCTATGTCTCTGGGCTGAGAAATAATTCCTTACATGGGATCAAAATGTTAAATTTTTGTACAAAGCTACAAACGGTAATCTATATGTAATAGGATTGATCCTGTCGTAAGTCTTCTACCTGCAACCATTCGACAATATTTCATTTTAGCGTTGTCTTTGCCTTTACGTTGGCTTCGCGTTACTTTTGTTTCAAATATCTTGATCGCGTTAAAAGAGTTGTTATTCAGGCCAGTGACATAGCTAAAAGACTTCGCATTAATATCGTTGTGATTTTATAGAGATATATCTAGAACTGAGGATTTTAGAAAGCGTTATCTGTAGTTTCTCAAAGTTGTAGACAAGATATGTTGTTTACGTCCATGCACCACGCATAAGATTGCATATACATGTAACTCAAAATAATTCGAGCAAAACCGATCTTTTGTTAAAACGAAGAATGGTTAATAGAAATTGGTCCTTTTGAGCGACATAATCGTGTATCGTCATCGATCCGTATCGTGGAACAATGAAAAAATTTGTTGTGAAATTAGTGAAGATAAAATAGATTTTGTAAAAAAGTGCGGGTGTACGGAATGGGAACTTTTCGGATTTGAACTCAGCGTGTTCTAAAGTGTTAGCTCCCGTAAAAATATTTCAGATCTAAGACATCCTTAATGAAAGTGAAGATATTGGGTCACAACACACGGACTACTGTAGCAATTATTCGCCATCAACAAATGATTGACCTTTCTGCCGCTGAAATTTTGCTTCAATTCGTGCAATAATTGTGTGATGAATGGATCACGGTAATCAGCTGTACCTTTCTTTAAGGATAAACCAAATCGGTAAAATCAAGGTCATGCCTACGGCATGTACCGTATTCTTTATCTAAGTACGCTGCTTCGTTTGACTGACCTGCTTCTTTGAGCACGCCTGCAAGTCCTGCAGAAACCATGGCAATCATTTCATGAGAAGGTCCCAACTGTTTATAGTAGATTTCAAGAGCATGTCTAAAACAATCTTCAGCTTCTGGTAATTCGTTTAATTTAAAATGTATCAAACCCAAGTTGTAATATGAATCTGCAAGACCAAGGTGGTTTAGTCCATTAGCTTGTAGGTATAACTTGATAGACCATTCAAAAGAACGTTTACTGTCTTCAAGCTCACCAAGACCCAAATCTATCGTTCCAAGACTTGTAAATATGAGCGCCATATGTGTAACAACTGGTACGGGACGGATTCCATTTACATTTTCTGCCTTGAAGAAGAAGATATTCAATGCTTGTAAGTCATATTGTTTAGCTTTTAGAAATTTACCTTGGACATGTTCCTGTTTCCCTAGGTTCATGTAGTAAATGCCCTCGATATGTGGTTGATTATCAATTTTTAAGGCCAATTTCGAGTACTTTATACCATCACTGCATTCGTTTGGGTTTGAACAAGCAAGGCCCGCGAATTACCATATTGTGCTTTAAAAATTTCCAGAGCCCGTTGATGATATTCTTTTGCTTTCGTCGTGCTCCGAAGGTTGGCTTCCACATTTCCTAAGTTTAAGAAGATGTGACCAATTTTTGGAAACGAAATATAGGAAGTTTCCTTAAGATGTATATTAGCCACATCATGTTCACTGTTTACTATTTTCAACGCTAAAATTAGGTACTTCTTTGATAATAGAAATTCCCCATACTCTATCAGAGTTGAAGTCAAATTAAAAAGGTGTTCATGAGTCTCCTGTTTGATTTTGATTGAATCTGGAATCAAAATTTCTGAAGAAAGGTTCTTCGTTTGAACACTAAATGCTCTCAAATGAGGAATTAGAGCAGTTTCATGAGCAAGAGCACCTTTATATTCCAGAAGTAATTGGAACACGTATAAAGGAACACGCGATTTATTATCTTCTTCCGAATCACGAGCGATGTGCAGTTGAATGCTATCAAATACGACACGGTGCAATGAAATTGAAACAGATTTTTGGTTGTCTGAAGCAAGGATCAATGAACATTGCCGCATTCGTAGTCTGACATCTTCTTCATCAGTATCTTTTTCAACACGAACCACATAGCTTACGATAATGTCTAGTGACAGAGGTTCATGGGATACATACGAAAGAAAAGTAAACGCATGTTTTAAAACAAGATCGCCCTCTGAAAAGGTTTTGACAGCCAATAAAACAGCTGTAGACATGGTTAACGAATATGCCTGATTTACTTTGGTTAGTTTCATTTCAGTAAGATTGCGTCTGCCTTCATGGAGTTTCTTCAAATAATTCTTCCAAGAAAATTGCGAGAATGCATTACTTTCTCGAAGTCGTTTGACGTAAAACGCAGCGGAGGCCAAAGCAAGAGGTTGATAATCCAATTCCTTTGCTACTTTGGTCAATAAATGTTGATTTTCAACAAGTCCAGATAAATCTGTAAGAAACTCGCGTGACTCTACTAGATCCATACCTCGACTAACTGAAATATGGACAGTCAAAGAACTGTTTGATGGGACAGATGACATGTCTTGTGTGGTAATTAACACTTGGCCACCTTGCCAGTCTTCATCTTCCAGTTGAGGAAGAAATGAAGATGTTTCATCCAGCTTTATAACACTATCAGCTATTAATAACCAAGTGCATCTATTTTTGAAGTTTTTCAACATTTTTGCAATTTCAGTTCTAAGACTTTGTATTTTCATCGCTGTAGTTGTTTTTTGTGAATTTATTATGTTCTCTATATTATTTTCATTACACTCCACGCTACGCGCGAAATCGGCGTAGGATTCCAAGATATCGTGTAAGGATCTTCCATTTAAAGTCATAACAAAAGTGTAGCTGCCAAGCCAATAAAACGTGATTCTTTTACCATAACGCTGACCAACTAACCTAGCAAGCTGAGACTTGCCACTTCCGGGATTACCAGAGATATAAAGATAGGTCAGCGCATGATTATTTCTGATAGATAGATTGCGTAATTCATCGAGAATCGCATTAACAGTTCGACTTCGGTTCGCAACTAAATGAACTGGTCTGCTTGGAAGGACTCGAAAAAGTGATTTCGCTTCAATAGCGTTCGTAAACCAATAATAGGATACACCAACTAAAATGGGCAAGCAAATGTACATGATCTTCGTTAAATGAATAGCATAGTTGCCTCTTAAAGAGATTCTAATTCCTTCAACATTTGCTGTGGATAACTTTAATACTTTGAAACAATTCTTAACTTTCCTACAAGCGTTGTTAAAAGCAGCATCAGGCATTTTATGTTGCGATCCAAATTTATGAGTAAGATGATTTCGGAGGACTCTCAATTCATCAACCTTGTTCGAAACATGTGGGGCCAAGTGTTTCTTAAGTGCGTTGGAAAATAGAATGGCATCCGACAAAGCAGACATATCCCATTCACTTCTCTTCCCAGATTGATACGAATTTAGGTATGGTTTAGCATGCGATCTTGGCTTCTCCATGTTATATAATTCGTTACCAGATATACACGTGTCGTCCCATAGGCCTTTGCTTGTACCATAATGTTTGTCCCATTCCTGTTTGAATACTTTCCGGAGACCTTCGCACACAACAACATTCAAAATTTCCATCATAGAGTTGTAGTTCTTTTTCTCGTTACCGTTTGACGGCATGTCGGGAAGAAAGGTTAAATTAATCAAAACCACAATCAAATCTAAATAGGGAAATGTGAAATAAGTTTACAAAGCGACTACAAGATTAGGGGAAATTTATGACTCCTGATTTTTCCTATTTTTCTCTCTGTCGCCCCCATGCGCATGTTGATTTTGTCGCTTTCTTCAGCTGGAATGCTTTAAGTACCTTTAACTTATAGTTATGTTCTTGCAGCCAGTATTCGCTTCCTTTGTTTTTAAATTCAGTGACGACAGAATCTTCAGCACGCATACAGTTCTTAAATATTAGACAGATTTA